TTAAAGCTTATCATAGAATTTATCTAAACCTGGAACACCTTCTGGAAGTCCTTTTCTCTTTCTAATAGCTGCAACAATTGATCCTACCTTTGATGTTGCATCAGTAACATCACCATTGAGTAATTGCCAGTGATCAAAGACACATTGTGGGAAGGCTTGTCCTGATGTATGTGATCTCAAATCGGCAGTAAATCCAAATGATTCACAGACTGGAAGATAAGCTCTAACATTGAATAATGGAGTACCTGGTCTTTGTTCTTCGGAAATAATCTTTCCTCTTCTTCTTGACATGACAGTGTAAATTCCTCCAATGGCTGATTCTGGGCATTGAATTTCGGCAAGATACATTGGTTCAAGAAGTGATGGTGCTCCTGTTAAGACACATGCGAAACAGCATCTTCTAGCACATGGAATCATTTGAGCTCCTCCTCTGTGGATGGCATCTGCATGTAATTTAACATCTTCTAAGTTAATTCTAACTCCTCTAATTTGTTCGTTACAAACTACTCCATCATGCATAGCATTGTTAAATCCATTAACAATGGAATCTTTAACTTCATTCAAATATTGAATACCTTTTGTAACATCAACAAACAAATTTGGTCCACAGTTATCTGGTCCGAAACACCAAATCTTTCTTGCTTCATCAACATCCCATCCATATTTCTCTGAAAGGAATTTAGCTCTTTCTTTAAAGTCTGTATCTGGTTTAATTTCTCCGGCTTCAATATCTTCAGCAAGTCCTTCAGCAAATGGGAAGGCTCTCATGAACAATCTGTTTTGATTGTTAGCTGATTTAGAAAGGCATTGAATTCTTGATGGTTCTGTAATAGTTTCTCTGAATGAGACAACTGGTTCAGTAACAATCAATGGAACTCCTGAACAATAATCTTCTTGAAGATCCTTAAGACAAACTTCAAGATGAAGTTCTCCAGCTCCAGCAACAATGTGTTCTCCGGATTCTTCGGTATAACATAAACAAAGTGGATCGGATCTTGATAATCTCTTCATACCTTCAACAAGTTTTGGAAGATCGGATGGATTCTTGGTTTCAACTGCAACTCTGACGACTGGTGAGACTGAGAATTTCATATCCTTAATAATATGTGCGGTATCAGAATCAGTAATAGTTCCTGATTTCAACAAATATTGATCTACTCCAACAAGTCCAATGACATTACCACATGGACATTCATCAATTGGATCAGTATATCTACCCATCATTAACATAGTTCTTTGAATGTTCTTAATAACACAATCATCCTTTTTACCTGGAACATAATTTGGTCCACAAATTCTAGCTTTTCCTCCTGTTCTAATTGTTCCTGAGAAAACTCTTCCAAAGGCATAGAATCTTCCTTTATCATTGGTTGGAATCATTTTAGAAACATACATCATTAATGGTCCTTTTTCATCACAATTAGCCATAGCTTTAGCTGCTTCATCGTCCATAGGTCCTGTGTAAAGATTTGATGTTCTGTATTTTTGTGCAACAACTGGTGATGGAAGATGGAGAACAATCATTTCAAGTAATGTAACACCAGCTGGTAACCATAATTTCATAACTGTCTTAAGAAGTTCTTTTCCTTCTTTTTCTTTATCATCAGCTGATAATTTGATTTGTAAGTTAGTTAACATCTTTTCATAATCAGCTTTTCTTCCTTCCATAATGGCATTGAATAATTTAGTAATTGGGTCAAAACAGAATTGGACAAATCCTCTTTGAAGAACTTCTCCATGATCTCCCTTTCCGTTCTTCTTCCATTTCTTAGCTTTAGCATCCCAATAATTGTCACCCCAAAGTTTTTCTAACATTCTCTTTCTATCAATTCCAAATTTGGCTGACCACATCTTAGCAAACTTTTCAAGTGTAAATGCCCATCCATGAAGTCCTGATCCAAATGCAACTGTTCCTTCTCCTGGTGAAACTTGAACATCTCCAAGAAGTTCATCTTTGTAAGTTGAAATAAGGACATTAACGTTTTCAATTGATCTACAGAATGATTGATATGCTTCTTCTGGTTCTTCTTTTAATTCAAGAATAACTCTATCAACTTTGTTAATAATGACAATTGGTTTAACTCTTTCTGTTAAAGCTTGTCTAAGGACAGTTTCGGTTTGGACACAAACTCCTTCAACACAATCAACAACAACTAATGCTCCATCAGTAACACGAAGTGCTGCTGTGACTTCTGATGAGAAATCGACGTGGCCTGGTGAATCAATAAGATTAATAAGGAATCCATTTCCATTAGCATCAGCTGGGATATCTTCTTTATCTTCAATTTCATAGTACATAGAAATTGAGGTTGATTTAATAGTAATACATCTTTCTTGTTCATCGGGTCTAGTATCAGTATATCTAGCTACTCCAGCTTTTTCATTAGAAATAATACCTGCAAGTGTAACAAGTGAATCTGTTAATGTTGACTTTCCGTGATCGACGTGAGCAATGACACACATATTTCTAATGTTGGATTTATTCAACATGAAATCTTTCATAGTTTTGACTCCTGTACTAGACATGACTCTTTTCTTTACTTCTAAGTTTTCTCTTTTACCCTTTTTATATTTCTTGTTAACCCTTCTGTTTCATATTTATTAAAATGAAAAAGGGTTTTTTCTTTTTCTTTTTTCTTTATTATTTTCATATCTCATTCTTTTTATCATTTCTCTTTCTCTCTTTTAAAACTTAATGTAATAAATTGAATTTCAATTACTTTTTACTATCCTCTTAAGAACAAATGCCATATTCTCTGCTAAATTCTTCATGGTGCTTTTAGCTTCTTCATCCTTTTCAACTTCATGTTGGTCTATAACATTTGGGTTATATCCATCATTCCAATAACTTGATCCAATAGTAATCATTTGATTAATTCCAAACCAATGGTTTATTGTATCATAAACATGAATAGCTCCTCCTCTTCTTGCCATAACAACTGCAGCTGCAACTTTTCTTCTAAGAGTTTCTTTGTTGTAATAAATTGGTTGAGTTCTATCAATGAATGTCTTGACAACTCCTGGAACGTCTGCATAATATGTTGGACTTCCAATAATTATTCCATCTGCTTCAATTATTTTCTGAAGCAACTCATCCATGACTGGATCATCTTTCCAACACTTTCCAGTTTTTTGACATGCATAACATGCAACACAAGGTTTAATCTCTTTCTTTCCAAGTTGATAAATTTATACTTCAATATCTTCTTTTTCTAATCCTTCTTTTACCCAACTCAACATAGTAAAAGTGTTTCCTTTTTCTCTTGGACTTCCATTAATCATAAATACTTTAATTGGTTTTGACATTCTTTTTATAATCAATATTTGTTTGTAGTTATTTGCAGTTTAAACATACTGTTAGTTTTGTTTGACTTTTCTATCAATGTTTGTATTATGTTATAATTTCGTTTGGT